GAGTACAAGACAGAACTCAAGTATTTTGGGTTGTTGTTAGTGATATAAAGTATTGTATCTATGCTAACATATTTACTGAATACCCATCTTTGTATTTACATATAAATGTATATACATACAACACAGAGGATACGTTTACATTGCGTAGATTTTATTGTGGGAGGTCATCTGGCTTGTGCTATTTCCATATGTAAACCATTTTATAGAAAACTGACTGTAAGTTAAAAGCAGTCTCTCTGCCCTAGCTTGAAATTATAAGCTTTAGCTTTTTAGGAACAGTGCCTTGCCACCTAAATTTATGCCCTTATGATTGATTTCTACTGAAAATAGAGTAGGAAGGTACATAAAGTCATGGGGGTCCTTCCTAGGAGATTAAATATTCTAAGCATATGAGAGGAGGTTGATTTCGTTCTGGATGGAAGGAGGAGAAAGGTTAAAAAGGAGAGGGTTTAATACTTGACTGTCATTGACTTAAAATTTTTTTAAGGAAAGTTTTGAAACAGCAGCTGTTTAGATTAAGAGGGCTGAAATAGAAATGCTTAAAAAATAGTTGATCATACTCAGAGAAACTTTTTTTCATTCATAATTATAAAGCAAGACTCTTTGAAGCTGTTCAGCACTGTGTTACTTCTGCTAAGTGCTCTGGCTTAGTCCTGTTCATTTGTGTTTCCAGTGAGTCCACTGACTTTGTGGTAGAGAGTCCTCTTAACTTCCTGACTGTTGTTTTTGCTGTCAAAGCATTCCATGTGCGTGCCTTTCCCTCATCATTACTGCAAGGTGCCATGAAGTTTAACCACAGTTTAGCTAAACCTTCAGTGAAGAGGGAATAAATAAATTTTATTTGCCATCAGATAGTAGCACAGTCATTGATAGTTGTCGCGGAGCAATTAATATATGGTACCAGATCCCATGTGATGAATTGTTGGTGTGTTGATAGCCTTTTTAGGGGAGTGTAGAGATCTTCAGTAAGTTCATTACTGTGTTTCCATTGGTTTTTCATTGTGACTCAGATTCCTGATGGTGTTGTGAATTGGATAGGGCTCTCCCAACACACTTTTATTTCTTATTTTACCATAATTTTTATAAACAAAGGACTCCTACCTAAGTAGAAGCAGCGTGGAGAAACCATAGATCAGACTGAGACATATTGTACCTCTGTCTTTGTTTGCATGGCAAGTTCAAGACTGAAATCAGAGTTCATTCTCTGTGTGTGAAAGGTCCTTGGTTCATTTATGCTTTAACTATTTGGTCATACAGTTTTAGATGTTAGCATTATGGCAAGTAAGTTATAATCGTAAGAAGAGTCACTGGAACTCAAATATATAAAAATATTCTTTAGAATGGTAAAAAGGGCGATTTAAAGAAATACTGTCTTTGCATGTAACTAGTCCGGATTTTTATGTTGTGCTTTCTCACAGACAAATATTTTCATTTTTTTGTTTAGTTTCGACTGGAATGATGGCCTGTTTGATGTGACGTGGAGTGAGAATAATGAACATGTGTTGATCACTTGTAGTGGAGATGGATCTCTGCAAATCTGGGATACAGCTAAAACCAAAGGTCCACTGCAAGTCTATAAAGAGCACACTCTGGAGGTAAACCAGGCAAACTTAAAAAATTTAATGGATGATCTAATGTTTAAATAATTAAAATATTTATTTGTGATCTTGTAATCAACAGTGGCTTTTTGTTTCCTATTTTTCAACTTTTTTTGGGTCTGTGGTTTGAATTAATAACTTTGAATAACTTTGAGTATTACTTAGAATATAAAGTGACCTGCCTATTGTACATATTCTTGTGTACATTCATATGCTGTAGTAGGTACAGCTTAATTACACAAATCTAATACATTCAGAATAGCATTTGTGATTCCTTACGGGCTAAGTAATCATTGTGTTGTATGAAATTACTGCAGTCACAATGTGATTTTTAGAAACCCGCATTGGGTAGGTCAGAATCAGGTAGCTGATGTATCAGTGTTATCCTTGAGGTTATAGAGTGATACAGATTATGCAGATCCTTAGGACTTCTGTTGCACCCAGAACTGCTTATGCTTTTCCATCCTAGCATCTGTGAGATCCTACAGATCCTGTAGTCAAATGTTGGGACAGTGTGTATGATTTTTTTAGCCTTGATATGATAACTGTTGCATTTGATTTTCCTAAAATCTTAGTATGCAGTGTTGTATGGGTAGAGAATAATGTTATGTTCAGGTTTATAAATGTATTTGCATAGTTTTAAGGATATTTTACTGTAGTACATATATTTTCTCCAAAGTGATTTTTCTACCCCTTTTTTTAAGCTTTCCTTCCAGCTTTCTCACTTCTGTCAAGTCTTTGAACTTCAGATGCAATCAGTTTCAGCCTGGATTACTGCTACTTTAGCTAAATGACAACAGTCTCAATAAAATAAATTAGTAGATATGTAGTTAATAAAAATGATGGAAGAAATTCAGTTGTGTTCACAAAAACCTCAAGATTTTTTCAGATATGAAGTACAAAGCTAAAAGCTGAGTGACTGCAGTTACACAACAGTTCATCTTCTGTAACTTGTTTCTTTGTAGTTTTGGTACTTTTGTTTAGTACATATATGGTGTAAATAGAAGATTTTGAGAATTTTATGATAATTTTCAAAGGCTGATAGTATTAAGGAGGTGAAGGAAAATACCAAATTTTTTGTTATTTTGTTTCTATCATTTTCTCGTTGAAATTCTGTCCGTAAGTTTGTTTTGGTTATGCTACACCATCTGTTGTTTGTGAAGTAAACATTTCTGTGTCCAAGTCTTAGTTTAGCAGGTAGCATGGGGAGGTGGGCATAGTCAACCATGATTAGAAAGACAGTGTAGGAAACATGGGCTGAGTGTTTATTGTGAGATATGAAAGGTTTATATTTATTCTTTATAAGTTTACATTAAGATGTAAGATCTCAGAGGGAACTTCCCTAATAGTTTGTGGTAAACACTGGCAAACAGTGCTCTCACTACCTTCCTAATCCTTAAACCTCATCTGACATTTCTAATGACGATTTTGTCACTGCATTTTATATTATTTCTCGTGCAAGATTGACGGGGATCTTTTCCAAATGAGATTATTGTCTCTTCACAAAAAGAACGTGCATTTTTAATTTAGAAGTGAATTTGTATTATCAAAGGACAGTGAGTTTTATTCCAGCACTAACCAACTGCTGAATCTCATGAATAAATTAGTCTAATTTACTTTGGTTTTGGCGCAGTCTCACTTGAATGTAAGACAACTGAACATTTATTCCGAATGCAATTTTATGGTTTTACATTTTTCCCCCTTGTTTTTTCCTCTTGCCTAAGGCATTTCTTGCTGTTCTTAAGGCATAAACTAGTGTTCATGTATTTTATGATTGAAGATAAAGCACTGTCTTCCCCAGTTGATCAACAGAGCTTCTATTGAATTGTCTGCAAATTTATGTTGAATGGCAGCATGAAAAGGGAAGAATAAAAGTGAACCTTACTTGGTTCTCCACACCGTCTTCTTTTCATTCTCTTCCTGTTACCTGGACCTGTCACATGCCAAATGGACAGTAGTTCTTGCTTTTTCTGAGCCTGTTGTCTGTTCTATTTGTAATTCTTGCCTGGAGGAGAATATGCCCAGGTCCCATTGCCTCCGCTGCAGCTGCGGAGCGCTGAGCAGTCCCAGCCATGTCTGCCATATGCACACAGGTCCGTGTGTCAACACGTGCACAGCAGATCTGCGTGCTGATAGCTTGGAAGTGAGCTGCAAGCTGTATGTGCTCTTTGCTTTATCTGTGCAGTACATCTGATATAGCCCAACTACCGTGTGTTCAGTACAGGCTGCATGAGTGGTGCGATACAGGTGCATATTTCCCAGGGATGTATTTATTTCTGGAAAATCTTGAACATGAGTATAAGANCCAAACACTTCTGCTGAGCTGCTTGGTGAAAGAGGCATACTGTGTATTGATGCATTTAGGGGCATTTTGAAACAGCAGCGGCTTAGAGGTTAAACTCAGACCATCACACAAATTCAGGGATAAAGAAGGAGGCTAATGTATGTGAGGAGCTCAGGAGGCACTTGGGAGAACTGTCATGTCTTCGACTCTTAGAATATGTAGCTGTACTTGTGTGTCTCCTTTGTTACTATTTTGGTAAGAGGAGTCAGGTTGACAGGGAGGATGTTTTAATGAGCTGTACTACAATTAGTTAGCTAAGTAGAAAAGTCAAGAGGTAAAGGCATGGTTTGGCAAAAAAACCAAAATAATTACCTCTGGTTATTTGGTTATTTGGCTTTTGTCAAGTACTGTCACAGTGTCTTGTAGATTTGGACTATAAGGTCCTCAAGGAAGGGAGCTATTACAGAATGGGGCCAGAGCAGTATGGCTTTCAGTATGTGGGAAGTGAGACTTTGTAAAATAAAAAAGGACAGTTGCAGATAATGCACCTTCTTTTTCTGTGGGTAGTGGTTGCTTTCCACTTCTGGAAAATAAGCAAATAGGTGAAAAACACTTAATTTAAGCTAGACCTAGCATAGACCATATTATTTCTTAGGAAGGAAAATGCTCAGAAGTAGCTAAATGTTACCTCGATTTCCTTTTTCACACAGGACACTTTCCATAGAAGACTTTGGTGTTTGCTGGATTTCTTTCCCTTTCATCTTCTCTGCTTTTTTGTCTGGTGACACAGGTCGAAGCATTTTCACCTTCAAAACAGGGTTGCTGTAATTTAATAAACAATTTCATCTATCCAAAACAAACATGGCTTCTAGTCATGTTGATTTGCAGATCAATCCAGTGCCGTGCTAGGACTAGATTATCCCAGGTGGAGTACAAATCCTCAGTGGTTAGTGGCCCAGCTGTTGAAAGCAGTGCCACCTATTACTGGTAGGTAGTGACTATATTTCTAAGAAGTGTCATGGAAGATCTGATTGGATCAGGAAGTGAAGCAAATAAATTGTTTTAGCTAATATTTTTCTCCCGTAACACTGAAATGGTCCATGTCCTGCTGCAGCTTATTGAGCCGTTTTGGTGTGAGGTAAAACTAGACAGAATGGAATGCACTTTCCACCAAGTAGATAAAGAGACTGTGTATTTGAAGATGGAAGTTGTACATGAGACTTGGGGATTTGTTTTTGCGAGGCAGCACAGCTGAAAAATCAGCAGCGAAGGGTAGAATTAAAGTATCCTCTTGTTAAGACAGGGACCAGTTGTACAATACGCTGTCAAGGAAGAGGGAGCTTTTTTCAACTACACAGTAAAAAAGCAATTTCTTAATAGCTGAAATGATTAGTAATGAGGGAAGTTGAGTTTCTAATTTCATTTTATTTTACTTGTTTGAAGATTTGAATGGTAAAAAAAAAAGATGTCATACAACCAGGAACAGATGAAAACCAGGAATATTTTATGACATATATTTCTTAGGAGAATTAGGTATAGTAAAAAGCATTTATTGTTAGTCAGCTAAAACCTCAAAGTTAGATACAGAGATGACATTTACATTGCTCGCAACAGAGGAGACTGTAGGTATTTGCATAAAAATGGATCAGCAATAAGAAATTAGTCTGAATTACAGCTTTTAAGGTGGTAGACTTCTAGTGATGGGGGATGTATGTGGATTTTATTACAACTTTTTTTTTTCCCCTCGGTTTGGCCCGTCTGCTTTTTTGGATATTTTTCTGAGCCTATATGTACCTTTAATGCCGGATTGAGATGCTAAGTTTAATTTTTGTTCAGGTAAATAACATTGTTGGCAGTTTTGTGGTGCTTGACTGGTAGTTTTTTAGCTGACTAGGACTCGGTCTGCAAATCCAAGTCTATTTTGTGAAACTTTGACTAACTACAGTCTCAAACTTGTATTCTAATGCTCCTTCTAAACTATGCCGTTATATCATTTATAGGCATATAGTGTTGACTGGAGCCAAACTAGAGGAGAGCAGCTAGTGGTGTCTGGTTCATGGGATCAAACAGCCAAGCTGGTATGTTGGTTTTCTGCTGAAGGTGAAAAATGTTTTGGATCTGATATTGCTTTGTGTTAAGAAAACAGCACTGATGCACTTTTGCTCTTTATTTTTACCCTAAGGCTGAAATTCTGTTTTAACTGAGGTGTTGCTTAATCCCTCAGTTGATACCAGTTTAGGTATACAAATGCTTTTCATAATGCATGCTAAAAAGAAATTAATTTAGTTCTTTCTGTATGTATGAATGTTTGAAACCCTCTACTTCTGTACTGATTGTTTTTCTTTCTTATTGAACAGTTTTCTTTTTTACTTTATTTAGTGGGATCCAGCTGTGGGGAAGTCATTATGCACTTTTAAAGGCCATGAAGGGGTCATTTACAGCACTATATGGTCTCCACACATCCCAGGTTGTTTTGCATCTGCCTCAGGTAAACATGATGGTAAAGAGGTTCTCGCAACAAAAAACCAAAAGCCATCTTTTATGTTATTGGATTAGTTCAGCACTTTGTCCAGCAGATGGTAGCGTGTGTCATATGTAAAAATGAAACAAGGAAAGGTAAACATATTGCTGCAGCTGGATTTGTAGGTTCTGTTACAGTCAGTAAATCATCCTCTTGTCCATTTAAATGGCGATCAGCAGTTCTCTAGCAGTGACCTTGTAGCAATTTTTTCTCTTATTTTATGTAGCTGTCTTCCATTCATCTCACTCTGGTTATTGACCACAAAATTATGTTATGTACTTTATTTTGTGTTTTGGCCTGCGTTTTTGTTCAAACTATCTCAAGTGTCAGTAGATTGTTAACTCTGTAAGAAACTAGTCAGTTCCCAATGAGTTGTTTTAAGTACTTCTGTAGATTGTTGTGCGTTGTTCTTTGGGAAAGGTAATGATCAGTTTTACCTTCCTGCTTTGGCCAGTGCTATCAATGCAACCATAGTTGAGGTGGGTGTACCCTGAGGCAAAGAGAGGTGAGGTGGTGTTTTCCAAACACTGCTACTGCTCCAGAGGCACAAGAAGAGCTCTGGAGTGAGACTTGGAGCTCAGCTGATGACTAACTGGGCAAGGGGTGCTGGTAGCCATGGAGTTTGATTGGGAAATAGAGGGGCTGTAAGACACTGCCCTAATACAAATACTGATAGATTAACTCTGATGGGTTGAATTTCTCCGATTTTAAGTCTGTTGTACATCTGTACTGATTTAAATAGAAATTCCTTGGCTCTTATATCGAGAGGGTAAGCAAGTATAAACATGTTTTCCTGTTACCGAAGTTAGAGTATCTGTGTACTCACAGATACTGGTCTTCACTATTCTGCAGGAAGTTTGATGAAAAAGTGCACATGGCTTTCATAAAATTTCAGTCTGGCTATTTCCATCTGATTCTGCCTGCAAAGTTAAGCTAGAATGACTAACAAGTAATTTTTATTTGTTCTAACATGGTAATACTTTAAAGCCAGGTGCTGGAGCACAGATATTTCCAACTTATTTGAAGAATCACTGAGTCAATTCTTAGTGAGATAATAGGATGTGTAGAAACTTACAGGATTGAACCCTGTACACTGTATGAACAGTTTACTGAAATGCAGCTATATGCTACAAAATGCTAGCTAAGTACTGTTTGGTCAAGGTTAAGTGCTTAGTGTTTTTTGCAAGTTCTGAAGGATGTTATGGTCTCTTTAAAATTCTGCTCAGAACGCTCCTGTCCATGGTAGTCTTAATCATACAAAATTTCTCACATCCTAGATGAGCAGAAGGGCTGTATTGATCCAGCTAACTTTTTCAAATTTGAATCTCTAGGATATGAAACCAAACTCTCTTCTAATACATTGCCACTCGAACAATTTTGGGAAACACTGATTGTTAGATGGTCATAATGTCAATGTAATGGTACCTAAATTGGGTACAGCAGCATACAAGTGATCTGTTCTTGGAGTGACTCAGTGGGTGCAGCTGTTGCAAGTTTTGACTAAAACACTAAACAGTTCCTATTCTTTTGTGAATTTTGATTCTTGAAAATTACTAACATACCACTGGAGCCTAAAGCTAATTGCAGTCAGTTTTCACTGATTGATGACTCCACAGTATTATATGCTATGGAAAAACAACATGCGCAGAAAACACAACGTTTTTCTTCTCTAGGTACTGTGCACGTGTGAAATAAAAATCTGCCATCAGAACACTGGTAGTGTAATGCTAGGTGTAAAATCATTAGGTAAGAGAAAAAGAAGTCTTCAAAAAGATGGTGAACTTTCTTACAGTTTCCAAAATAAAACATCTGGTATGCTTCTAGATGAAATGTCATCAAGCCAAAGATCTTGCTTAGAAGTCATGACATCTTAATGTGGAAAAGGTTTCTGTGTTTGCATTGTTTACATTGGAATTTTCCTGTGGTTTGATTGGATTACTTCACTACAGAAAATACATATTGGAAATCTTTTCTTTGGTCATCAGGACTTTGAGTAGTAGAAGTACTCGTGACTCTCTAGCTCTCTGTATAAATGCCATTTCCTTATGGTAAAAAAGGCATATTAGTTTATCTTTAGAGGTATGGCCAGTCTTCGCGAGCGAAGATTTGGGAAAGGTCATTAACCCTTCGAGCCTGCGCAGTGGATTTTTTAGGTGAGACACAGCGTGCGCTGAACTGAGCCCACCCTTTAATCCTGAGGTTCATCTGCCGGGGCCGAGCAGGCTTGGACAGTGGCAGTGAGGGTCTCAGGACTGGGGGGCTGGGAATTGAACCCGGGTCGCAGCAGTGAAAGTGCTGCACCCTAACCACTAGACCACCAGGGGCCCCTTATCTTTAGAGAGTTCAGTGTTTAATGATGTTCTACTCTGCCAGGCAACATATGTGATAGCAGACAAGTGCAACTGTTCAGGAGGCTGGACCTCCTCATTTGAAACTTGCTATGGTCTGTATACCTTATAAAGATGGGACAGAAAGCTTAATTTCACTGCTGATTGATCTTCTATCGAGCTTAACTTGGAGCTGAGGAGAAACTTGAATATCAATGTGATAGTACTGTGTCGAATTTACAGCTGTTCCCTTCTTTGATACACTTGCTGGGAAGGTTGACCTGCAGTTTTGTGGTCTCTTATTTTGCGACTTTTAGTTGTCTTGACAATTAGTGACTGGAAATGTATCTGGAGGGAATTTTTTTTACTTCCTTTCATCTCCCCTTTTTTAAAAAAAATTTTAAACAGTGGCTTTTTGACAGTTATTGTCAAAGAGTATTGAAACGTTCACATCTTGAAGGAGTCTACACTTCTTTGGGATTGTAGAGTGTGTGTGTCTGTGTGTTTTCTTTCTGTCTCTTGCCCCACCTGTCCCCTTCTCTCATCCCACCTCACACATGCCTGCTCACAAGCATGTACTTACTGATATCTTAATATTACAAAGTCATAGTGCTCAAGAAATGAACTGTTGCATATTGCAGCATCTTCAATTTTATGTATTAGTAAAATAAGTTAGATATGTTGTGAACCACAGATTGGAAAAAATGTTGATCTTGAAATACTTCTGGTTAAACTAAATCTAAGTAAAGCAGTGCAATCTTTTTTTTTTAAACTTTTCCTCTTTAAAGAAAATAAGAGGGAAGGATGTTTTAAGAACGTTTTGCGAGCCTCACCCCTACCATTCCTCTGCCTTTATTTGAATCCCCATAGATGCCAGCAGAAGTTTAATTTCCATGTAACTAATTAGTTTGTGAACTCTGAAAACAGAAAACCAAACAGAACTGCAAGCCACAATGAAACAGCTGCTCGGAAGAACCAACTTATGCCTGAAGCTAATCTCTGATTTTCGTATATGACTTCTTCTCAAGCTATTATGAGACTACAAAATGAATCTAGGTGAAGAAAATGAGAAACCTAAGAGTGCAATATAAAGCAGTTAAAAAAAAAATTGATACTAGGTGTAGCTATTTTGCTTCTCTAAGTCTCCATTCTGAATACATACAGGAAAACTGATCTTATCTACAGTGGACAATAAAATGCAATTGAATTACCAAAGATATGTATATCTGATGCTTCAGTTAAATCAGCTTTTATTCAGCATCTAATAAACTTCCATTTAACATTTACAGGGATGTGTGAGGTACTCTACAATGCTGTTGTCTTCATGTACAATTATTTGTGCTCTAAAAAAGAAAGTAAATGGCTTATCTTTTTTGTTTGAAAATTGGAGTTAATAGTAATAGAACAAACTCTTAATTCTGTATATGTAAGTAACTGCTCCCATGATGTCAGTAGCAGTTTCTGAGCTGATAAGATAAGTCGGAGATTCAGGAGTACATGTAGCACCAAACCAGAGCTCTGGTAAATGTCTGCCTTACACTGAAAACACACTGATGTGGAAAATGTCATTAAAGAAGTGGCATGAATGTTTTAACAGCATCTTCCTGGCTAAAGGGTTTAATGAGTCATTGTGTCATTTGCCCAGAAAATTTTCTTTTTAACCCAGAGAGCAAATTGGTGAGAAGCACATAAAGAGCTTGTGAAATGCAAATAAGAGTAGTATATAGTCAAATGTAAATCAGTTCTACTCTGTGATTCTCCATAACTGCAAAGTGATAGGCCTTGCTCAGACCCGTGGTTTATAAAGAAAGTATCCTTTGTAGTATCAACTAGTTTTATCACCCTTTAAATTTAACCGTAGAAAGTAATTAATGAGTACCATTTTACCCTTATCTGCATAACTGTAGGATTCTTCAATACAGATACAACACTGGCAAATGAAAATATGAATGGTTTAGATTTTACAAAGCCCAAATTTAGAATGACTGCTAGCTTATATCTTAAGCAGTGGGGCCTCAATTTTATTGCTGCATTCCTTTTTAAATCACTTCTTAAGTTTACTGATCAGGGCAGGTATGTGGTTTTAATAACATCTTAAATCATGAGTAAGGGAAGGAAGTGTTTTTGAAATCTGCATGACAATGTCTGTATTCATCAGTACTTAGATCAATTAATTGTATTCTTTCCTAAAAGACTTATTTTTCAGACTGAAAGCCCAGGGCAAACAATTTTCTCATAGCACAACAAAGTGTGATAATTTCTGATAAGTTCTGATTATGTTGACACAAGAGTTGGGTAACTGTAGCTTTGCTGCTTTACAAATGAACTTGTAAATCCAGGTCCCACTCTGGTAAGCCGTTGCATTCAGTGCTAGACTTTAAGGTTAAAACTAAAAGGCATTGTTTATCTTGTATTCTGTTTTATTGCCAGCCCTGACTTAGTGAGTTGCCTTTTAAAAAATTTCCCTTCTTTCCTACTGGTCTCTTAGTGACCAGTATGTCACTGGTGTAGTTAAGGGGTTGTCAAACTGTTAGTTTCATAAATGAGGCTGGCATGTAGTCTTGGCACACCTTTCTGTGTTTTGTATTCAAATTGTAAAAGAAAACTATAATTGGAAGAAATGATTTTGCATGAAATAAA